TTTTTTTTCCCAGAGATGCAGCGGAAGTATTTCCTGAAAAAATGAGGCACTAGCAGACTCATTTCAGTAGTCAGTTTCTTGCATAATCGACTGCAAGCAGAAACCCTACACTGCTTTAAACGGCTGATGGTGACAGTTTGTCATGCTAAACTTTAGAAAGGTTTTAGAAAGTGTCTCATTTTTAGTAAAATGGAACTCCGTCATACGCGTATGAGATAATATTCTGCCTTAAATAAATTTTTTTTTCACAAGAACAGAATTGTTCAAAAGGTCGTATAAAATATTCTCATCCATCAACATGCATGGTAGTTTGTTCTGGGGACACATAAAAAGGGCAGCTTTTGCTTAATTTGTATGAAAATGCAACCAAATGTCAAATGGAATAATTCTTGCTGTTCGCAAGTCAATTGCTCTAGGTTAGCGCTAGCGTGTAGCCGAAAATATGCAGACCTTTAACAGCGATAGTAACGGTAAAATTTACATATAATTTGTTCATCGTTATTCAAGTATTACATATGTTTTTAGAGCAGGCCACTCATATCAAATCTAGATACTCTTAAAAATATGTCGGTACAAATTTTACTTCTTTTTGTTTTATTACATAAGGACCGACTGCTAATTTAATATATCAGATTACCTAAAAACTTTATATAATCGTTCAATAATTTGCGTTAAATCACCTTTTGTGCAATCACAACTTTATTTGCTAATCAAATAGTATAATTTTAAATCAGACTGGACAACAATTTATTGCTGCCAGCACACAACAACCTTTTCAAAAAACTTTCAAATGGCTTAAAAACTAGTTCGCATTTAGACTTTGATGCTAGCTCTAAAAAGTAACCGAAACCAATTGACCTTATGTCATGATATAAGCTGTGTTCATTTTTAAACATTTAATTTTGCCTTTTGAAGTGATCATTTTAATACATTGGACTAGGATATATCATAAAAGTCATGCATTTACCTTTAAACCAATTTGGTTATCAAAAACCAATTCACTTGTTCTCTACTGAATTTTGCAGCTAAACAGACCTGCGGCATTCCTGTTGCCTGATAATGCCAATCCAATGCTACTAAATATGTTATAAAGATCAACAAAAAACGAATAATCGGCAACCGATCAACATTTATTTGATTTTCAAATTTTGGATCAATTTCGATACCTAGCCAGCAATCAATTTATCAAAACGCCATCCATTAAGCCAAGCTAATCTAGGGAAAGTTTAGTAAATGAAGACCTAAAAGTCCAGAGGGTGCGCAATTTTGCAGTTCTTCAATTGTGTTCCTATTCCGGAAATATCCACGGCCAGATTGCATTGAACGGCGTTGTTTCCGTACGAAACTTCAGGAACCAATAGATTTGGATTAAAAATAGCGCGAAATTCGTAAAATCCGGGCGGTACGTCGGTAATATCAATCCATTGGCAGTCATAATCATGCAAATAGTAGTCCATACAGCCCGGACTAATCCCTAAAGCAAGAAAAGAAGCACTTAAGAGTCATCTCTCATCTTGAGGTCAATATGAACATGAAAATTTTATTGAAAGAACAATTGCCGGTTTTTAAACCGTAAAGTTAACAAAAAGTGCAGCCCGTGGGTTCTGCAAGAATGATTTAAATGTAGGTACATGGATAACAGAGATTGTAAGCACAAATAGCTGCAACTCGCACAAAGTTAATTACCACTTTATCACAGGAGGAATTGCTTTGCGACAAAGGTGTCCACTATTTTGCCAAAAAAATGTATAGACAACCAAACCAACTTAAAGGGAATTATTTCGAAAATACATAAAGATGGTATCAAATCCACGATACACAAAGTGAGCGGTAAGAATAGAAAACTAAAAGTACACATCTTGATCAATGCTAGAAAGTACGAGTTGTCCCTCATTTATCCCTTTTTGATACGTTTCCTAAGCATAATATGATTTAAATTCTGCAAGGGTAGACCATGTATTGTCAAAAAATCTATCACCTCGTAAATACCATATAGTAGGCATACATATAGAACGACGAATGCAGTCCTAAACAGCGGGAATCTATTTTAATTAGTTTTTTGTGCGGTGACACAGATATGATACTAAAAACCAGAATACCTGCAATGTAGGCTTAGAGTATCGCCTATTTTAGTACTTGTCATCTTTAATTATGCATTTTTAGCATGCGAAAATGGCAGAAAGTAAAGTTAGAACGTCACTATTGATCCCTCTATTCCCATGTTGCTCTCTGTGTTAGCAGGGGCGTAATCTCAGTGTAACGAAAAAGGTTGCTGGATAAGAAGAGAAGAAGCAAATGTCAATAAACTAGGACTTCAGGTTGCAAACACTTCGATAGCCTTTTTGACGTGGCTTAAAGTAAACGACTTCCCTTAAAATAACGTTCGCTTAGGAATAGAAGGGACCTCGGAACCGCACACTTCTCAAGACCACCCCATTAGAGTTAATAATCTCCGACATCAACTGCTTTGCGTGTCATTCGCCTGCCGTTTTCATCTCACGAAAAACTAGGAAAAAGTCAAAGTTTCCACCCAATTCCTATTAATTTAGAGTAAAAGCTTCAACTCTACAATGCGTGCTTGTTATCGATTTTCATGTAAAATGAGCAAACACAAAAATAACACCCAATCAAAAAAAGTTCAGAGTTAAGGATTCGCCGTCTTTGAGATCCTATAATTGAGCGGAATTAAAAAAATCCCAGAATTTTGAAAAAAACTAGAAATATAGAAAATCCCACCAATAGCGTAAATCGGATGCCAGATGGATGAATTTTAAGTACTAACCTTGATCTCCGCGAATACTGAGTGAGGTGGAGCAGATGAATTTTTTCTTATAACCAGGTGCGCATTCACTGTCCTCCAAACAGAAGCTAGCTTTGTGGCCCACGGCCAGAACACGTTGTGCGGAGTCAACGATTTCATATGAGGAAAATACCTTCATACTGTGGTAATGCCTGCGTCAAGGAGGAAGTATGTGGCTGCCCATGAGTACGGTGAAAAATTTGAAGGTTTTAATTAGTAACTTTTGAACTGCAGATAAAATCGATGAAACTGAGTGTTCATATTAGGCGATATTTTTTTTCGGATTGTTTGTGTTACTTTGCAAAATTAAATTTTAATCCAGTGAACCGTACTTGATGGTATTTTGTGGCAAGCATGCAGTATGACAGCAGTCTTTGGGCTTTGGTATGCAATTGCCTTCACATGGCTTAATTGAATAAAAACATTCGGAAGTGTCTGATGAAGAGACTTGAGTTTTATGTATAAAATGAGAATTTACATTCACACAAGGACAGTTATTGGATAAATTGCTTTAGGACAAAATGCATTTTCAAGGACAAACTCATACGTTGTAGTGCAACCAGCTCTATATGTTCCGTTATCATGATAACTAGTTAGTTTACTGTCTTCCCAAATAGGCCGCGGTATTTTTTCGATGATTGCATATCCGTTTAATAGGCGTTCGATTTACTTTGAACGAGCAATTTAGTATTTACCAGCTGCCAAGCATGATTGTAAGTAGCAAGTGTGGTAGTTAGATACCTGCGTGTATGTCTACGCGTACTTAAAAGTTGGGCGTAAAATCGAAAAAGCTATATAAAACGTGTTAAACAAGGCTTCTTCAAAATATAGCTAAAAGTGTCTCATAGTATTATAGCCTTTCCGAGACATTTTTCTGCAAGTCTGGCGCATAGAGAAACGACCAGCGCATTCGATATCTTAAGCACATAATTTGCAAAAAAATTGTAAGGCTTATCTCATTCAGATGGTAAAGGAATCTAGATGGAAGTAAATCTGGGGCAATACATAACTTTGTGTTTGGTAGAGTTGTAAAAAAACTAAATTGATAAATATTTAAATTGCTGGAGCCACCAAAGATTTCAAGATTACATGGAAAGGTTTCTCTTTGGTTTGGCCACCTATGCTGCTGAGCTGCAAATTAATTTAAGCCGACTTCTCCAAATTCATTCCAGGTGGTACGAAATGCACGAGCTTGTCCGTGTAGTTTTTGATCTCGTAGATGGAACGCTCACTAGGAGTTTTTTGCAGCAACATGTGGATGAAACGTTAATCATGTAGCAGCATCACTGATTTGATTAGTACATACCATATGAGCGATTAAGTACACAGAAAATGTGTACAACTAGGCAAAAAACTGGCTTTATTTTTTTATATCTTTAGTGTTGTTGACTAGATGTGATCGTCTATGTATACTCAATTTCAACATTATCAAATTCGTTAAGTTAGCAGCCGTCTGATGGACAACTCAATCAAATCCTTTGATGATGAGCGGATGGCTAATAAGGTTAGAACTAAGGCTTTGATTTCCGCTTGCATGGATACAATTTAAGTATTTATTATGCACAGAATTAAGTTGAAAGAAGGTCAGTAGCATGTAGGTGAAATTTCTTATTATCGACAGAGGATCAGTCTTTAGAAATAACAATAACAAATTCACAACCTCACAACTCCGTTTTCTTTTTAGTTTACACATAACATTCAAAGGATGAAAGATTTGAAAATTACTGAAAAATGGATCATCCTGTTGCATTAACACTTTCGTTTCTTGTCCTCTGATACCGCATAGCCGTCGCAGGTGATTCTGTTAACTCCTTTCGCATCTTTGAGTAAACTTGCAAAATGAAAACACTATTTCGATGAAAGCGTTAAGCTAGGAGATTAAATGAGTTTGGATTTGTATTCAACGGAACTCTTTTTGTAACAAAGGTATATATTCTGTTGATATATGTCTTTTAACTTTCGACAGCTGCGGCCCAATGCATCAAGCAACCAAAAGTAATAATATTTGCTTATAAAGCTGGATAATGGCTTAAATAGATGCTTTGGTTTGCTCTGCTGTGTGTGCCAAATACAACCCCTTACATAAAACTCTAGTGTGTAGAATTATGGAAAAGCAATTCACGACATTTTAAAGACGCACAGTCACGAGTTAGGAACAGTTGTCACCGCAAAGGAGGGTGCGTTTTTAGTTTTTTGTCTTTGACTTGGATTTAAAATGCCAAGATTCACTTTAAGATGTGGCACCAAAGACAACGGTGGCTCCACACTTTATGGGCCAAAATACCTTTCCTCCCAGACTAAAATTACCAGATCGAGCGCGCGGTATGGAGGAAGCCTTCTGCTGTGGGAATTTAAAGGGTAAGGACGTATTCTACTGTAGAGTGCTTAAAATATACGTGCGATTCCACACGGTTGGGTGTTGGAAATTTAATTAACAGATCGCTGGTTCGAGTCTCTGGTAGTCCACCACGCAGGGTCGGAAATGGATAACCGATGATGGCTAGTAAACCAGAAATAGACAGTAAAATCTTCATTATCTTTGTAAATTATTTCCTTCGGCCTATAATATATTAGCCGTCCAACGGCTGCTGAAGGAGCTCGAGAGAGAACCCAAAGGCGCAATGGTACGAATGAGTTCCGTAACTGATCCCTGAAAGTTCGTCCATTCGTACTAACATAATTTTCAAATATCCCAAAAAGGCAATTATTAATTACGTAAGACAGTACCGATTATGATTTAGGCAGCTAACACTGAGGCAGTTGCTTACTCTACTTATGTTTGCATCTGGTTCATTGCATTCATTGATGAGCTCTGAACCATTCCCAACCGTAGTAGGTGTATTAATTATTTTGATTAATTTTCGGCGTGCATAGATATTCAATTAGAATTTGCGGTGATTATGTGGAAAAATGTATTTTGCAACATCAGCTGGATTATGGGAGGATATGTGAGTACATTCCTCCAATAGTACTGGTAGGTCGCCGGTAACTTCGGATATAATTTGGGTTTATGGTTAAGGTAAGGATAAGCTGCAGGTTTGGCGTAAGAGTATTGGTTAAGGTTCCACTTAGGTTAAGGACTGAATTTAGCTTAAGGGTTAAAGTTAGGACGCTCAAAATAAGTGTCTTTAGGGTTTACTTGTGTATAGCATCAGCCTTCTTTTTGTCGCTTATCGTTATTTTACAGGATTATCATTTCCTAAATGCAGTGTCTTCGGTGAATGATTATATGTGTTTCTTTTAAAAACCTATAGGTGATAATCATCAACTTATTTGGTAAAACCAACATTTTCACGTTTATGCCGGTCTCTATGATGATTCGCCTTCTTCGGAACTATTTTCCATAAAATATCAAGAAGCAGCACGTGTTCTGCGCACCTTTCAGTATATTGCTTGCACACTCGCGAGTACAGCAATGCCATTTTATCAGTCGTAATATACTCCAGCTGGCAGAAATTTGTTCCGAAAAAATCGGACAGTATGTCTTGTACAACCTCACTTCATGCTACGGAAATAATCAGCATTTTCAAGCTACCATTCATCCAAGATGTGACTAAGAATTTCGGGCAATCTTTTGTTAAGTTCCACACGTACAGTGCACTTGCGTCTTGGCCGTGAACACCTCTGTGTTGTGAGTGCTTCCATGTTTAACAGAAAGTAGCTCTCAAAATCGTTCAGAAATGTTCGCAATGCTTTATATGAAGCGCGGTTGGGCGCAATAACTGCTAAAGCATTCTGAAGACCAAAATAACCTTCGTGCAAATTCCCGTCACTCTTAGCAAGACTGATCTAAACAGTTCACCAGAAAGGTCTATAAAGATGTGTCGGCTGATATTGTAGTGTGGTAGATGTGCCATATTGCTGAGCACAAAAACCATTAAACCTTCCTTAGAACAGTCCAGACACCAATAGGATGAAAATGTGTTATCAAAATATGCTGATCCGTAAACCTGCGAAAAGGGAAGTCATAATATATCTACTGGCTTAATGCAATTTTCCTTGATTGTTTAGTCCAAAACCCATAATGAATTTGTTTTGTACGCATTTTCAGCTTATTTAGTTTCTAAAACGACGGACTTTTATTTCTTCAATTCAGTATTTAACAACCTTTTGGCGCTTTTTCTTGAAATTGTCCAGCTTCCATAAAAGCCACGAGAAAACCTAACGAAAAATGTCCCGAGCATTTGAGACTGTGTTCTCTGCAAAAAAACATAACTCCACAAACTGAGCTTATAAAATGTATATGGTGCGGAACATGATATTGTTAAACATGCAAAACGAATGCCTGTTGATTCTGCACAATAAATTTGCGAGGTGCAATCACTGCATCTTAGAATAGTATGGTGGAAAAATATGCCTTAAGTCATATTCCTTTGCGTGGTTGACCTAAATGTAGAAATATTTCCCATATATTCTCCCTAGAAATACATTTTTCGGTATATTGTTGAAGCTATTACGTTTTTTCAAATAATATATTTGACTAGTGTCTTTATACTATTTCAAGAAGGCATACATATACCGATGGTTTTTTAAATATAACATAAGTTTTCTCTCTTGACGGGTATTCTGAACAACCAGTTGGAAATATTTTCAAAACGTATTTTACTGATAGCCTTAACATCTTCTAGTGCTTACGAACACTCCTTCTAGGGGGCTTAAGTTAGACATACTACGAGAATCCATGTGGAAAGAGAAGAAAATTGTCAAACTGACTAGCAGTTTTGTTGCTTGCAATGATTACACCCATGCAACCTTTTGAAAGCCAAAATGCCTAATATCTCATATGGAAGGAATAAGTAAGGGATATAGTTACACAATGGTTAACCCCTAGTGTTATCTCGAGTTCTGTTTATACAGGTGGCATCGCGAATGCCCTGAAAGGGGTGAACATAATACTTTTAGGCGGAAATCGTAAAAATATTCCGGTTTAGTTATCTGAATCCATTTATAAATTCAACAGCGCAACTGAACGCATGCCGTACCTTTCATCTTAATGATTTATAATACTTTGATCTTAAGAACTAAATCAGGCTATTGTTCAGTTTTATTCAAAACTGTTGTCTTCTGACGGATATAAATGATTCCCATCTTTCATGACACAAATGGATTAGACGCTGCAGAATCCGCTGATGCTTGGAATAACACACTCGATCGAGGTACCTATTGACTACTTTGCGGAAGCATGCTCACAGTTCAGCAGCGTCATGCTACATCGACCAAAATAAATAATAATTTGCTTTACACTTATCTAACTGTTCTTTCAGGGGAGCATGCACAGCGTGAACACAATAAAGTAAACGAGGGCTCTTACAAGCACGCTTTAAAAAAAAACTAAAACATGAACCCATTTTTAAGGATAATATAGGAAAAAAATATCCACAGCTCACGCACTAGCATAAAGCAAAAACTCGTGTGTTGCGAATATGCTGCCTCTTCATGGCACAGTTGCAAAGAATTTGGTACATTGGTGGATCCCTTGCATTTTCTAGGCGGTTGCTGGTAGATACGCTAATTTGTAAATTACTCACCTTATTCACAAAGTTAAAGATACCTTTGGGCAAAGCATTCTGGTGAAACGCTATAAGCACAGGTAGTATTTGTTTTCTCAATGTGGTATCTAATGTACCCCCTATTTAAAATATTGGCTGCCTGTTGTTAGTCCACTGAATATAACGCGGTTATCTTGCCGTGACTGATACATATCAGGCCAATTATAGGCATGGCATTTCGGTCTCCTCCCATAAAGCTTAATGTGGACTGATTTACGTAAATTTATCAATAAATTTCCAAGAAGATTAATGATCAACACATTCATGTTCCCTAAAAATAACGATTTTTGGCGCACCTTGTTCCATTGTCCCTAATGTACATAATTCACCTTAATCTATCAACTTACTGTCAGAAATAGGCTTGAAAACATTGCTCAACAACTTTTTTATACTTAATTTGTCGGTACAATTTACCTGACACCAGTCCGGGTGCATTATTTAAAAATGTGGCAAGAATCAAATCTCCTACCTAATAAGATTTGTTTAGTAATCCGACAGAACAACCTTATGCACGGTCATGGATACTTACGAATGACAGGCGTGCCAAACCCACTTCTCTGGCGGCAAAAACGGTTTGAAGGGCTCAGTTCCGATGTTATGAATGTTGGAGGAGAATCGCAACAGTCGGCGTTGGAAGCTCAGCACTCGACGGGGTTGTCGACTAAACAAACTGTAGACGACGGGTGGAAAACAATTCTCTTCCAGCGCGCAAGTCACCTGGAAGAGGGGGACAGTTTGCACACGTGCAGACTTCTCCAGGGCATCCGCATCCGGAAGAAGGTCAGGAAGGCCTAGAATGAGAATTAGAAGGCTTGTGATAAATGTTGACTACGGGCATTTAAATCCAGCCGCGAGCGTTTAAATTCAAATGAGGGTTTCGCAGATTTTTTATCTATTTGAACTGACTTATTTTTAAATGCAAAACGTCTGGACCGAGGTGTACGCTGCATGGCTTATTTGAGACTCCCCCTACTTGAAATGCAATAGTTTCTACTAAAATAAATCGTATCTCTCTCATAATATTTGAGCACACAGGGTTGACAGGGTAGAGACCAGCAAGTTGATCCGGGACAGACAGTTCGATTACACTCTTGGATACCTTGGAACTTAGGAAAATAGTATAGAGTTTTTAAATTATTGATGCCTATGTATGTCTTTCACGCAGCGTCTATAACTTATGCTCAATATGTAACATTGTGCCTTCTAGGAATGTTATACTCCAAATACGAATGTAGTACGATTTCAAAAAAGTGTGGCAACTACCGTGTAATTATGAAGCATGAGTCCACTTTCCACCATTTTTAATAGTCTTCACATTATATGCTGTAGAATAAATCGGTGCGTTTAATCTAGAATTGTTTACTCACTGAATAATGTGTTTGAAGTATAGCAATACGGACTCGCAGTCGTCACGGACTCATGTCGTCACTGCAGTCTGAAGATATTGCTTATCGCACCAAATGTTCATAGCCCGCTCTTATAAAATGACTACTAAATCACTATGTAATTTCCCCTGTTTTAAAATTCTTGGTTTGTTTACTACACCGACATTAAAGTTGTCCTCTTCGATTATGCTGCTTCTTTATGCTATGCTGGATCTTCTGACCGACAGGCTACGTTCGGGATGACTTGGTCATTCGGGCGCAGCTGATACACCCAGTTAACGTCGGCGGGGAACAGTTTCGTTCGCTCTTCTTTCACCGCTGGGACAATCATTTTATTCACCTGACCTTTCGGAATCCGTTGCTGATCCATCATTAGAGACAATAGAGCAACTAGTACTTCATACACAGGGAATTGCGGTATTTATAGGGCACAACCTGGTTTGTGACGGATAATGAGCCAGAAAAGGCGTTCAGTTAAATGAAAATGAATATAGACAATGATATTCTTTTGGTAAAGATGGGTTATCTATAAATCCCGGGTTTAAGTAACCTAGCCTGGAATTACTTGGTGTATTATTTCATAGCTGTGGGACTTAACTGCCACTGCTGTTCAGATTCAGTTTGGTAACTAAAACGTGCTTTTTGTTCATTTTTTTGATATAAGTATATAAATATTATTAGTATATTGGTATAAGTCTTGTATATGCCTAGAAGAATACATTTTGGGGATATTTACTTACTATTTATGTGTTCTTATAAAGAATTCGCTTCTTGTCCATGGTAAAATGTCCCCCTTAAAAGCCCACTGCCACCGCTCCCGTTTCATAAGATTCTAGAAAGAAATGGTTGCTAAGGGGCCCTATATAACCTACGGTCGCCATCTATTTGTTTAAAAATAGCCAACTGGTGAAAAACAGTGGAAATGTTGAAAGCTCAAAGACTAATGTCAGATGAGTAAACATAAAAGATTTTATCGACAAGGGAGAGTATTTTAACAGCAAAGACCAGCCATGCATTTATTCTGAATCACATTTCTTGTGAGTTACCTGTTTACAAGTAAGCATGCAGTAAATTGTTAAGGTAGGTGTCGGCAAACCTAGGTGGTTTTATGTACTCTTTAAATATGTTTTAAAAATGACGTTAATATTCCTGGTGCAGTAGAAAAAGCCGACATTAATCTTTATCTGGGAAGCATTTTCGTTATACTTGACTGTTATACGAGTATGAATGACCAAAAAAGCTGACCACTTGAACCTCAAATTTCGACTTACCCACTGTCAGGTTGCTATATATTTCAACCGGATGTAATCAATCTTACTAGATGCTGACATTGAAAATCAAATGTCGAATTGAACTTTCCATTTAATAAAAATTACTTGCATTAGCAATATAAATCAAGTGGCTAAACACTTTCTTCGAAAAATGTCTACATTTATGCAGGCAATAAAAATCAGCTTAAAAGCACCAAGTAATCCATTAATAAATTTGGAGGGATGTACTCCAGTCGGGTGTTTGTTCGGCAACTTAATCGGTAGCTAGCACTCATCTGCGAAAGTGACCTATACATAAATATTGCGACTCAGTGTAAGAATGTTCAGGCCATTATGGGCTCAAAAGAGCACTTATCTATGCAAAAAATAATAAGTGGTCGCTGTATGTATCCATTTTACCAGGCCGCCCTAGCCTAGCCGTCTCCGTCAGTAGACAAAGTTCAGCTGTCGGTCAGGCATGCGCATTGGACTTCAGAAGTAGACGGTCTCCATTTCTGTCTGTTCTGCAAAGTAATAGTCTCTTCAGTCTGATCTGATAAAATGTGCCTTGCAAGTAAACCCGCTCGGAAGATTGCATAACCATGAATGCTGAAAATACACCATTGCAGTCTCCTTAGATTTTTTTGCTAATATTCGTTTAACCGTTTCACTGTTGTTTCGTCAGAACCCTAACTTTATCAGATATTAGACCGCCAGAGGTAAAGAAACATGGACACTGGGCGCATTCTGAGCGGATCTGAGGACAATGTGGTTACTAAAACGGATTTGTGGAGCTCTATATACTTGCATAAATTGCAATCGCAAAAAATCCTTATAAAATTGCCACCGAAAGATAATTAAAAGGGTATAATAAAGAGAAAACATTTCTTTTTGGCCTTGCTAGTCTACTTATATAGTTTTGGCCTGTGGAAGCGGAATTAAAATTCTACGATAACATTTCACAACTTTTAAAAGTTTCTTCAGTCATTTTGAAAACCCGACAGTGCCAACCTGGGTAAAGTACCTCTGTGGTTGGGTCCACCAGTGGATAACTATTTGGGCGTTTAACTACAGGGTTTCGAGGGCCATGGAACGTGAAACTCAGCTCCGCAGTGGCTGATTTTCATTAAACTGTCAAAACCATGGAAACATCTATGGACCAACCTGTAGGTGCTTTCGTCGGAGTACGAGATTTAGAATATGATATAAGTCTGCCCCTCGCTGAACTGCAGTTGCTAAGCGCAGAATGCGAACAACCCTTCCAACCGCAATTCACTGCAGCCGCTTTCGATTTTGTTTACATTGTGCTACCACATAATATTCTGATTATTGGAGCTGGTGTCCTAAGAATTGACGATTATAAGATTTTCGATATAATACATTTTAAGAACAATCTACAGAACCCCGCCATGTTATTCAACTTATAAATGCCTAAACAACACACAAGTATCGATGAACAGCTTCTCATGAGCTACGTTGTGAATTCAAAATCCCGCACAAAAATCTTGAACATTGCTTTATAACAGCTTTCTAGGATTACTGCTTATTCTGATTCTTGCATATGTGCGGACATGCCTGGGATGGTGTACAACTTGGGACTAGATATGTTTGGGTTTGTGACGAATACTGAGCCAGAAATGGCCATTCCATCCTCCATAGTCTTCTTATCAGGAAGATGATGCAAGGCGGCTTTTAGGAAAGCCATGCTAATTGCTCATTCACGAAAAACTAGTCAGAACGTTCCGTCCAATGTTTACTTAGTCAGCACTGGCACTGTTATGAGAGATAGAAAGAACTGCCACCCAATTTCCGTCTCTGTCCATACTTGTTAATTTCTTTCTTGCGGCAGTCACAACTGGGATTAACTTGTGCAAGGCAATTTGTAACCCATCGATGGAATCACATAGAAGATATTAGTGAGTGTGGATTTCACAGATGTTTTTTTCCAGAGCCTCTTTGAAAAAGGAGGTTACCCCGCATTTCACTTAGCTAGTCTTTAAGGACGTAGTCAAAGCACGCGCACAGAAAATACGTGCGCAGCGATGTCAAAAACTAAATAGTTCAGGGAACTATGTCTGGTCAGTGACTGCTTTCACTACTGCGCACATGGTGACTATCCAGCACTATATAGTTGGTTGTTGGGCTCTACAAATGATGTTGAAGGGCCGTTATGGAGAACATAGAAATTAAGCTTCTTAACCAGCTATCTGAGTACCGTTCTAAACCTGATTTAAGTATATTTGATTGGCCGAACGTTCGCATTACCTGCTTTATGTCCTTAATTCAAAACCAGATCCACTGCGAGTTTACAAAAGATATCCACAAAGGCATGCTTCAAGCACTCCAAATAATTTTTATTATGAACCTTAATTTCTTTGAAAGTATACACTTTATAATGCAACGCCACCTTGTGTGAAAAAAAACTTGCAAAAATGTGTTAAGTTGATAGGATTAACTAGCGAAAGGCAGGCTCTTATCAGACCTAAAAGCATATCTTGTATTTTCTGACATCTTTTCCTGTGCGATTCAAAAACACATAATAACGCTGCATTCTCTAATATGTTCCGTTTGAGCACAAGAAAATTTGCGTGGATGTGGGCAAACAGTCTCCAGCTTCATGAAGGAGAGAGAAGATTGACGATTTCTGACTTATTTGCCGTTATCAGGCCTTATTTTCTCAAGCCTTGGTCGGAAACACTTGACAACAGAATGAGTGTTTGGATGGCCATTGGTCCATTTCCTGAATAATGGTTTCATGCCCTGCCTGCATCCTCAGGACGCTGCCCGAAGCTAACACATTCCAGACACAATTTGTGCAGATAAACAGGCTTGTCCTATTTGTTTTGAGGCTTCAAGTAAGAACAAAAAATATGTCCGTCTATCTCAATATTGCTGCCTCTTTCTGCTAAAGGCAGAATGGCACAACCGGCAAAAACAAAGGAGACTGAAATAGTCACTTCTGGCTTATTAACCGCAAGCAGCTAGCCACAACCAACTCCACATTGTGCCCTTAACCGATTGTGACTTAAACCGATAACCGATTGATTAGAACCACTGTGGTTGACTTTTGCTATATCGCTATCAACAACGTCCTTCGAAAAGTAATAAAAAGTAGCTTTGTGCATGAAATAAAAGGACAGTTTTCTGAGCCAGCTCATAAACATATCACGTGATCGCTGTGATAGGATTTTTTTATTTTCTGATATTCCAGATTCCCGTTCGGACTCACAATCGATCAAAGAGGCGAGTAATGATAATACCGCTCCGAAGGGCGCAGTTGTCGTGACACTCCATAACCTTTTCACTTGGTTACTC